GTTACGATAAGAGGGTGCCTTTCTTTTTGAATTACAGGAGGGGATTAAAAACATCATTAGTTTTTTGGACGTGATGGGATCCAGGCCAGCTCGCTGTGCGACACTGCCGGCGTCTTGCGTTCAGGGCAAACCTGACGACAACATGCAGATTTACTTACGGGTGTCTGGTTTGGGTTTAGGGTTTATCTAGGGCATTTATGGTTTAGGCCTTCAGGTTCAGGATATATATATATATACATACATGGCCATACAGCATTATAAGGTATACGTATAGAGTTTAAAGTTTAATTAGGGTTTAGAGTTAGTAGGGAACAAGGGAATACATTGCATAGGAATGTCAAACAACTATACTCCCTTGTCTCCTACTCACCACTAAGTTTACGAGCTAAGGGTATTTGGTTGCGACAGACTTATGGACAGCTGATTGGGGCTTGCGTTTGAGAGGATTAGGGGCTTCTGGCCTCTCATGATTGGGGTCCGTATTCTGGTGCACAGCTCGCATGCGTCTTGCAACTTGTGGTCCGTGCCCGGCTTTGATTTAAGATAACATTTTTTCGCGACTCAGTCTATGGGTCATGGGGGATGTCTGTTGGTGCTGACATTAAGGAGGAAGAATAGAACTCTTACTTGCGCCAGAAAAAAAACTTTCTCTGCTTTTCTTGATGCCCTGGTAAACGGCAGTTCATTCTTATCTTTGGCTGTACAGTTCCGAGATCTTTCTCAACTATGTTCAATTGTTCCAAATGTCGGATAAGTGCCATGAAAATGAAAACATACAATCTACCACAACCCATCTCCGATTTAAAAGCAACCATACTTGAAGCGTGGGTTGTTGTTCGGGGTTCTCCCATTCTTTGCTGAGCCCCAGGAGAAGTCTGCGCTGCAAGGGGCAGATCTATGACACTTGTGGGGGTTTCCTAAAATTAGGGGTACGTTTTCAGGGGCCTCAATGATAAGGAGTATATGGCACATTGGGGTCTATATTGGGGTCTGGTTGTTTTGGGAAACTGTCTTGTGTACTTTTCACTCACCCAAAAAAACAGGAGAGCTGAAAAGAAGTATTGCGAAGACCTCTAGTCTTTCGAAAGTCCGCACAGGGTTCCATGGTAGTTCGGGGGTAGACTACCCTCCCAAAAGCCACATATGTGCTAGTTGTCGATTTCATTTTCGGGATCTTGCTATTTCAATTGCCAAGCTACTTTGAAGAGTAACCAGAACGGAAACGCGTCCTGAAGATTTTGGGATATAGTATACCACAATTACAGGTTTTCCTTCTGGGGCTGGGAATTTCGTAAGGGGCCTCGCCGTAGGACAGCTGTTCTGTCGCCCCTTCGCGGTACATCCTGGGATTGTGACGGCTTTCATACAGGCTTCACTGCATCAATGTCACGCAGTGCTGAGCCAAAGTCACGGCGCAATGGCAGGGTGAGTCAGCCTCTAAAGAAATATTGGCTTTGGCACACGCCTGCAATTATGCCTGCATGATCCTGACATCTTTTCAGCCACATACTGCATGACGAAGGGAAACCATGCATGGCTTCCCAAACGGGACTCTTAGCTCAATGTCCCAACCCTTCAAAGACACCCGAATACGGTGTCTTCTGTGGCGCGGGCGCCCTCAGTTCAGCCCATCTCCGCAAAGCCTTCCAAAGCCTCTCCTGGCTGAGAGTCTTTTGAGGCTCTATGCTTACATATCTTGGGTTCTGGGATAAGCTGATAAGCTTCCTCATCCTGGGACTATGTGAGAAGCCTCGGTTAGATATTGTTGGAATGTGGGGCTTGTTACATACCCCCTGGTTGCGCGTTGTCGCGCGACTGTAAAAGACTTAGAATACTCATGGTATTGGAGGGCTTGTCGCCCCAGGCGCGCCACTGTTAAATACCCCTTGTAGCGGGGTATGTCGCGTCTGTCGGCCCGGCCTTTTTACAAGCCTTTGGTTTTGACCCGCTGGGATGCCAGAATTGCCAACTGACATAGAGCCCCCAGTACCCGTCTCCTTTTGAGAGTCTAGCCCAATCAGGTACCATACATAGCTTAAAGCCGAAGGGACATTCTGCTCTAGACGTTTGGCTTTTGTAGGCCTTGGCGTAACTTCTTCTGCATCTTCCTGCCTTATGTCTTCCTTCACACAAAACTAGAAGATGGGCCTGAGTGGAGGTATGCAAAGAATCCAGGAGTCGGCAAAGATCTGGTCACCCATGACCCGGCAACCCGGCCTCGTTGACGCACAAACCATCAGAACTGAGGAGGGCGGCAAGAGACCTGGCTCTCTCTCTGGTACAGCATTCATGGCTTTCTTATCTAGTGGCGGCGGCATGCTTCATTGCACGTAATGCTCACGCTAAGTGAAGAGAAGGTAGAAACCCTCTGAAGGACGTCGTTTCAAGACATAGCATGATAACCACTGCGTCCCAGCAACCTAATTAACCTAGCCTGAAGGCTGGTGGCCGTTTCGGAACACTCATATCATGCAATTCGCAGGCCTGAATAATTAGCGCTTTCATCTTGTCTATTTAAGAGTCTATTTTAGACCCTATACCATACAATGAGATTTGGGCTCTTTTAATCTCTGATACTCCGCAACGGTCCCTTTCAGGGATGCTCCCGGTGACAGACGGAAAACTGCGCAACCGGAGTCGGGGCAACATAGCGGGGTCCTATATTAGGCCTGGGAACTTTGGCGCCTGGGCTTCACGCAGGGTGCCTTTGAAAAACCTGAACTGGATACTGAACCTTGCCCCTTCGTCCCTTCCTCTCCAAGCACCCGGGCACTGTATGAAGGTGCAGAAAATCTCGGGCGTGGAGAACCTGCAATGGTTTAGGTTGCTGTCAAGGGGTCGGTTGAGCAGCGATCGTGTTCATCAGACACTGGGCCACACTCTGAGTAAACCACGACAATCTGGTGGGGTGTCTGGTTCACTACCTTAATTCTCTCTGTGTATACAGATATAAATGAACTGGAACATGTAGGTTTGTATATGTATATGTATACTCTACCTAGGCTCTGCCGGGTTCAGGCATGGGGCTTCGTATGAGGCATTAGGGGAATGGGATGAGGGGTACAAAAACGGAACCCTAATTTTGGGAAAGTAACTTCTAGGGTCAAAGAGCGACAAGGCAAAGAATCGTCCCCGGAAGATATGCCATACCCACACTCATGGCACCGTTGTGGCGGACCCCGCCTCACACAAGCAGCATGCTTTTGATGAGGACCCTTTGCCCGGGTACACACCCACCCCGTTGAGCCCTGAAGTCACCCGGCCTGCCGAGTATGGACCCGAGAAAGGCCACCAAGGATCTCGAGAAAATGCTTGGAATACCTGCAGTGAACATCTCTCAAGAGTCAGGCTTCCCGCTTTTTTAGGGCAAAAGCATGAAGCTTTAAGTTCCGGGATTGGGTCCACGGGAGCAATCGCGCAGCGGTCAGGTTTCGGGGCTTGCGGGGTTGGCGCGCCTGGGCCTCCAAACTGCCTCCAAATTAAAGAGTTTGAATTTGAGTAGCATCACGAAGTAGCCACTGCCTCATCTTAGCCTATTGTTGAGGACTTTGCACACATCACTCCCACACAATGCAAACAATAAAGTCTCTGTGTAGCAACCTCAACACATGTCTTTCCAACCTAAATTTCTCGATACTAAACATCAGGCCACTATCCCAATCATCTGGGTTGCTGTTAAGGAACTTGCATTAAACGGCTATAACAAGGAAGCCCTGTTATTCACTATACATCCGAAATGCGGTGACTTAAACCAAGTTCCTCTACAGCAACCCTATCACCGGCTCCACGCCCCAAACGGCAAATTCTTAAAGCCTGATCCCTCGAAACTGATCTAGTAATTTCTTCCCAAGCATAGGGGAAAGGGACCCCCCCCCCACAGATACACCTAATTTTGGCAGGCCCCCATATCTCGTCTAGCCTTTCGAGATGCAACTATATTACACCCATTACCATAGTCACATAATCTCAACTCCTCGTATCCGCCTTCATAGCCACTACAATAATAATAGTCCCCCATCTAATCCCCTACATACCCCCTTTTTAAGGAGTTTGGACTATAGCTCATATACACCCATGAGTTCCCAAACTTTAACGGTCCTCCAGATTTACCAAACCTTTAAGGACAATAGGGGTCATATAGGGGTAATGGAAAAGAACATGGAAACTAGTATACTATGCTAGGGTACATATTGCGCTTATAGTACCGTAGAGAATAGGGGGATATTATTGAATATTCTTTACAGGGACTATATGCTGTAAAGATTAGCAAATTAGCAAAAGCAAGAAACTTCCCCCTGAAGTGCTGGAACAGCCTCTCGAGGCCCAGTCGGCAGGCGATATCGAAAAGTCTCAGCACCTCTTGCAAGCTTTCCCCAGCCAAGGCACAACAGGATTTCCCAAAATTAGGGGTACCTACTATAATGGAGAATCAAATGGAAAAGAAAATGGAAAATGAAATGGAAACTGGGATATATAGGGGATTATAAGGATTAGGGTTTCCCAAAATTAGGGGTACCGTTTTGGGGGTCACCATAATATGGACTTTAGTATTTTGGGGGTACAGAAAACTCTCAAACACCTAGTCTCATTTGCTTGCTGCAAAGGCTGAGGTAGAACACAATCCCAGTCTGCTTCAGCTGCTAGGCAGCCTCCGCCTCCGCCTCCAAACTGTGTTACTACCTGCGCCAACCCTTCGGACCACTACTACTTCTCCTCCTGTTCCCTGGCAGCCCTAGCAGGCTGCTGCTTTTGCTTTTGATTACTGGAGCCCTCACAGTCACTACCACAACCAGACACACAAAAGGCACACCAAACCCCAAACCCGCAAGCCCCTCAACGCCTGTGTGACGTTGCCGGGATCTGCGTTCTCTTCAATGAAGGAACCGCAGCCCTCGAGCCTGACTCTCTCAGAGCACGGTCGGTTGCACAAGCAGATATAATAGCTTCACCTTCAACATCTCCAGACAGCGTCCACAATTTTAGCAATATCAACACTGCACCCGGGCTGCAGGCAATCCGTCGATCTGGTACTTGTCCTAGGCTCTGAAGAGCGCGAACAAACGGGCTGCAGGAGAAGCAACGTCAAATCCTACACCAGCGTCAGTTACATGCATAGAGTCTGAAACTAACTACTGCACTTCCTTAGGCACAAAAGCCAGCATCATGTTAACAAGCATGCAGCCGCATGAAACACATTTCCAAAACCGAGTCGTCGGGAAGTGTCAGGCTCCCTTCTTTTACCCCCCCTTGCAGGAGAACCCCTCCGCAGGATGCCTGATCTTCACAAACTAAACGAACCGCAGCGTATGTGAGAATTTTAAGAACCGTTTCTTTCGCACGGTGGAGCAGGGGGGCCTTCATTCCACAAGCCTGGGCCTAAACCGTGACAGCAACCTCGACATCAATTGTGACTAAACATGTCATGTTGGCTTCCCAAAGACTGAGATCCCCTCATATTACAAGAACTCCACAGAGCGAACTAGGGCAAGTGTCGGCTGCCCGGTACACTTGAAGCGCCTGGCTGAAGGTGGTCTGGGTATGTCTGGGTGATGATGAATAACAGATTCTCGCATTAACATCAGATTTAGGTTGCCGCAGCAGAAAAGCAGGCGGGAGGAGGAGGAGCTGTGGAGAGTATGTGGGTGTGTGTCACCACCAGATAAGAGTTCACCTATTTCGTGGGGTCCTGCAGGTTTTGGTCTTCTGCCCTAGGCTACAGGCTGCGACACGAAAAGGATGATCTTGCAAGCAGGTGTTGAGACAAAATCACTGAAGACATGGCCCAGGTATGGCAGCGCTTTCCTGCCCAAAGCACGAAGTACATTGCAAGCGCGTCAGGATCCACGTTATCCAGTGAGATCAACGGGTCCAAGTGATGCACGTACCGCAACATGCACTTGAACCTCGGCAATGGACCAAGTTGAGGATGAAGCTCCAATTCTTCCATTCAAAGTAGCGTGTCTGTTCTTCCTCCTGAAGGTCTGGCTTGTTACTGACTACGAATGAATGCCCTTCTGAGGATGGTTATAAGCTTTTTCTCAACGCTTTTTCAAAAGCCCCGCTCCGAATTCCCATGGATGAAGGGCTGCATAAGAGCTCGATTCATCACATAACAAGTTTGCCAGCAAGACACCGCATTGCTCTGGCACTTAGCCACAGCCCTGTCTGCCTGTGCCAAGAACTTCTCGGAACAACCCTATTAAGGAAAGAGCGCGCTGGGCTCAATGTCGGGGACTGCCACATAGTGGTGCTGCCCGGTTCGGAACCTTGGCAGCTCATCGAGCTTAGGGCAGAAGCAGCAAACAGCAGCAAACATACGTGGAACGGAACCCCAGAAAGGGCCCCATAAGGCCTGCTTCCTTACTTTCAACAAATTGCCTTTTGGGGTTGAAGGTCTACTGTAGAAGGTTACACCTCCACCCACCTGACAACACCCGCAGCCGAGACCCGAAGCTTGAGCTTGCGCTCAAACCATGATTCCGAGTTACCCCTGTAACATCAGACTTTTCCGTGGATTGCACTACCCAATACCTCGACTAGAAAACCTTGAGCTCCCAAATCCGATGAAGGGAGACCCACTACATTTTCCCAACTATTCTTATGCAACGTGCGGTATCCAGGTACATGATCTACCCCCAAGATCATGTGAGCCATAGTCTAAACTCCCACTACTCCCATAGTTAAGAAAATCCTATAACAAAAATCCTATAACACTCCCCCATATAGCCCCCTTTGAGGAGCTTATTAGATTCTAGCCCATGTAGGCCTCTTCAGGAAACCCCGGAAAAGGACCGTCATCTCGCGTGCCCCCCCAGAGATCAGATCACTTCAGGCAAGCGCCCACTTTGCTGCGCCTGGCCAAACTCTCTACCTGGGCGTTCCAAGGTTCTATTCCACACAGCAAAATTTCACCCTTGATCTATGCAAGTATGTAGTCTTGTTGCTTTCAAGCTTCCTCGGGTTTAATCTTATGACTTTCGCAAATCACACGTCACACAAAGAATAGTTAATGGCATGGAGTAGTCAAGCAAAACAAGTGCCGGAACTCCGAGAAAAGCGCAACAGGCAGTACCCGTCAGCTCTAGTCTGATGCTGCGAAATAGCTCTATTACAATAATATGCTAGGGAGCATACATAGGGAATGTATGGGATAGTAGGGTTATATATGTATAGGGATGTATAATAACCACATTGTGAAGAAGCAGCAGCAATGACTAACAGGATGGCTCATCTGCTTGCCCTTCCTCTTCTGCATGGGCTTGTTTTGCAATCGCCTCTCCCACGAGTGACACAGGCCACGCTGGTGAGCCAGCATGGCTTTGCAGTTGGAGGCTCCGCTGGTTTGATCGCGTGCCACAGCATGATCCCTGTTCATTGTCATTGGGAGTCCGTCATGGACCCCAATGTATCATAATCAGTCTAATGTACCCCTAAACCCTAAACCCTAACCCCCCCTCAAAAAAAAGCCTTTAATTGGGGCTGTTGCAAGTAGACAGCCCTTTACTGTGGCACACGCCCGTCTCACAGCCTGCACAGGCCTTGCATGACGAAACCACAGCACTCCTCAATTAAACCTGCAAATTGCAACTGGCCCCGTGCTGAGCCGAACTTCCTTGAATAGTAATACTAATAACAACAGCAGTAATTAAAGTTAGTAGCAAGAATAGAAATAACTGTCAATGATAGCAATAACAGTAGTAATGCTAATAATAGGTGCCAAGCCTGACCATTTCGACGCGCATGAGGAAGGCCGCTTGCAGCATTTTGTCTTCTCGTGGACTTCTACAACTACTATCTAAATGGAGTCTACGAACAACACCAGCACGGACCCACAGTCTCTGTCGGCTTGCCCTCCAGAACTGTTGCGAAGTTTTTAAATCACGTATTGGTACTGTCTGGTCTATCTGACAAGACCCCGCAAGTAGTTCCTTCAAGGTCGTACGCTGCACAAAGATTACATGTGAATTTCAAACCACAACACAATGTAAGCTGGTAGGAGTCGTAGGAGAGCCTCGAGTGCAGGTCACATAATCCAACCTGCGCAGAAGGAACTACTTGAAGCGGTCAAGGGAACGAAGCTGAAACTCACCACTGTCGGACCCCAGAATCCTCGTACTACAACCTAACATGACGGATGGAGCTGGATAATTCATAGGATGGAAAGTGATCGAAACAGAGCTTACCAGACATCTACCGCGTCATGCTTCAAACATCCTTAGTACCGAGGCTATGTCGAGCAACAGCCTGACTGGCAATGAATGTTCTTTTGAGGTCACCCCAACCGGATGAGGTTGAGCATGCGTGGCTAATAATACCAGCATGAAGGTAGGCCCCTGCAGCAGATCCCAAGGTCCAACTGCGTGGATCCGATCTGTCTTCCCTCGACCAAAAGGCACCGACATTACATGCGTACGAACATAACTTGCGGACTACACATCCCAGCCCAGGATCCTTCTGCACTATGGAAACTATGACTGTTACTACGGCTCTCAAGCTTGTTATCAAGAGTACTACTGTAGATTCATTGCTATGTAACGATAAAAGGAAAGCGCTCTCAGGGCAGCGACGATGCCGCTTCAGCCTCAAAGCAGAGAAGCAGACAACCCAGTCCGAAGAGGCAACTGTTACAAGAGCACATATTACTATATTATTGGTGTTATATAGGGGTTATAGAGGGACTGTTTAGGGTTAGGAGTTCCCCCAAGAATGGAGAATCAAACAGAAAAGAAAATGGAACATGAAATGGAAACGACTATAGAAATAAACTACTGCATCATGAGAGTGAGGGCAGCTGAGCAAAAAAGCGGACTATCCTGCGGCTTTGGCCCCTGAAGGAAGACGTTCAATGTAGGGCAAAGTTCTACTGGGTTGCTCTTGAGGAACTTAATTTAAGTTACCATACTGAGTATATAATATGAAGGAAGACGTTCAATGTAGGGCAAAGTTCTACTGGGTTGCTCTTGAGGAATTAAAGTTACCATACTGAGTTTTTATCATAGTAATTGATGAGGTTTCTCCAAGAAAGTACCTCAAATTAAGTTCCTTAAAGCAATCCAGCCTAATGTGCGGCATTCTAAGGCTGCTCAAGACAATCAAGAGTTTGTTTAAACCCAGACATTCCATTATCATGCTGGGGGTTCTCATGGTCGGGGTATAGCTTCCGTAGCAAAATTCCTCCTGCTTTCATGAAACCTTCACACTGTACTAGCACATCACGCCTCCGAATCTACTTCTGATGAGGCTGCTGCCCGGACACTTGAGCCCACTTTGAAACAACCTTGCATCTCAATAATTAATTTCCCAGAATATTGGTATATGGTAAATAACAGGGTTTCTTCATTACAGCAACTTGATTTGAACTCCTTAACACCAACCCAGTAAAGTAGCAGTGGTAGCAGCAACAAGAGGAGCGGTAGCAGCTGCAGCAGCAGCAGCAGCAGCAGCAGCAGCAGTTGCAGTTGTTGCTTATAGGAGCAGCTGCTGCCCTGGTCGTCGCAGAGGTGGTGGTGAGAAATTAGCGCTACTCATGATTCTCAGCATGGAAACGAAGCATGAGCAGGAAAGAGATGTGAGCGATTGGGAAGGAGTAGTGCACTGGGAAGGTATCCACACGCTTGCTGAAAGTAACGGTGGCCGTTCCAGCATTCCTCTGAAGTAAAAAATCTGAAGTAGGATCTGCCTTGCAATGATGCTATTGGACTCGAATCTACGGATTGGTATTACCCTTGGGCCCATTCCTGAACTCCTTGACTCAACCAAAATCTCAATCACCAAGCTGAGGAGCTGCTTAGAAAGCAGCGAAGATGATCGGGAGTGCCTGGACAGGGGCCGTTTCAGTGTCTACATTTAGACATGCGCATCGCACAAGCAGGCACGGCAAAGACTGTCTACATGCAGAATTGAGGCTCAAGAGTCTGCAATAAGGGGTATGTAGGGATCATGCAATGGCTTCAGAGGGTGTATACCTAATAATGGACAATCACATGGAAAAGACAATGGGGGCCTTGATAGTTATAGCCCTCTCTGGGGGCTTGAGGGTATATCCGTATAGGGTTCCCAAACCTCAAAACTCAAAACTTGCAGCCCGAAACCTGCCTTAGTCAGTCCTCGGCCGCTGCCTCGTTTGTATGAGCCTAGGCTGTGAGAGACGTGAGGTGAGAACATGAACAGCCCATTTCTGGCAGCAATCTTCCTCATCCCTGGCAGTACATCCTGGCAGTGATCACCGGGTACAGGTCTGATATGTCTGATAGAATTCTACATGACCATCGTGTTTGCTGCGCATGCACAAACTGTTGTTGAGTTGAAGCTCCCCGCTCAGGGGTTGCTCTCAAGCTACCCTGACACAGCATTCGCCGCAAGGGGAGTTCCAAAGCTTAGACGCAAGAGGTGATGCTGTTAATGTCAGAAGAACCTGCTGCCATCATCGTCACAAAACCAATCAATTCTTTGGGAACCTGCCAGGGCTCATCAGGCTGCAACTCCAGGGTATTAAGAGCCTGAAGCATACAACGTCACTCCCTGGCGCATGAAGTCATAAACCAGGCTTCAGTCGGGGGTTTCAAGCTGCTAACCCACCATAGGGTTTAGGGTTAAAAGGTTGGGAAAAGCAGGGGGCGGATCATGGGATGTCTCAGCTTGGACGCATGTACAGTGTCCCCATTTGGTAGTTTCCCTAAATAGGGGGACCCCAATATGGACCCCAAAATACTATAGTCCTTATTATGGGGACCCCCAAAATGGTACCCCTAATTTTGGGAAACCCCCATTTAAGACGCCTGACGGGCTTCCTTCTGCTCGCGTTCTCAAATCATCAGCATCGTTGGAGATCCCAATTTCTCCCTCCGCTATGATTGTAACACGCAATCTTTGAATTCACGGAGTCTGTTTGGGCGTCTCATACAGTAAGAGGGACAGCATATAACCCCAATATACCCTATTATAACATAGTAGCTTCCATTTTCTCTCCCATTATCCCTATATAGCCCCTATATAACCCTATATAGCTGCCGGCGGGTGGCTCGCCATCTGAGTCCAATAGCCGGCCACCTTTGCCTGTCCAGAAGAGGACTCCACCTTGGCAAATCTGTATGTATCAGGGTTATATAGGGGCTATGCAGGGGGTTAAGGATTTAGGGTTTAGGGGCTATACAGGGCTATGTAGGGGTTATTTAAGGATAATGGAAAATGAAATGGAAACTACTATTTAGGGTTTAGGGATTAGGGGCTTAGGGTTTAGGGGCAACATTGGGTTGTATAGGGATAATGGAAAAGAAAATGGAAGCTACTATATGATAATAGGGTATACAATATTGGGGTTATGGAGGGACAATGAAAAGAAAATGGAAGCCACTACATAAAATAGGGTATATATTGGGGTTATACGAAATCTTACTTTCAGGCCAGGGGCATATGAGGAGGTATGGATATGGCACTTGAAGGCGTGTATCCTGACAACGCTACATGATGCCGCGCGCAGCTTTTTTCGCAGTTTGTGTGACATGTAGACAAATATGGTCAAGAAGAGCCTAAGTTTAAAGAAACTCTTCAAGCTGCCTACAGCTCTACAGCGTTTTTTTGCTGTGCCAGGAACAAGGAAATATTATGCCACCTTCAGACCTTGCTCTTGCCAGCCCTGAAGTCTTGAACCAGTTTTATGAACCTTCACCTAACGGTCACCAAACTTTCACCCCAACTGATAGGCTAAGGCCTGGGGGCGGCACTCGCATCTTTCGGCACGCCTTCCAGCCGGTAGGGCTTGCTGGGCGGCAGCCCTTCAAACCTGGGGCAGGGAGGATCGGGTGAGGTTAGGGGTGGACAGTTAAGGTGTTTTCATAGACTTCTTGAAGGCTCCAGTCCCAAACACCTAGG